TCGCGACCCACAGGTTGAGAACCACTGACCTAACAAGTAAATGATCTTGAACAAGTACACATGTCAAGAATCACACTTTTCAGACTGTTCACTCTTACTGAAACAAGATGTCTCACTAGCTAGTAAAGCCAGCATCAGCATGACGTGTTCACACAACAAGCTACCACTTGCCTCCCAATTATCTACAGAATGTCATGGGACTGATGGAATTTAGTTTGTAAAATTAGCTGGGTTCTTTACAAAAGTAGTAATTACAATGAACACAGGCTTTACAGTGAGCAGCGGAAGCTCCCATTTGCCCATCATTAGAATTATTCACTTTATAGGTTATATATTATCTACAGGCAAAACCTTTTTTCTAGCATGTAGCAGGGTTTTGCTGCTATCTGGGGCTCTGTTAGCACAATTTCCCTTTCACTTCTTGTCTTGGTGACACTTTGTTTTTTTAAAACCAGGCAGGAAGTGAAAAATATGACAGCTGTGCTGTCCTTCCCATACTTAAAGAATTCCAGGCATAGTATATTTATACAGCTTGAACCAATATAACGAAGTATACGCCATGTCTGGCTGATGTCCCTGGAAACTGGAAATCACTGACGCAGACATTGCTACTCCAGTGACCTCTACTTCAGTGATCTCTCCCACCTTTACCAAAGCATTCTCCGAATGGCACCCATGCCGAACATCTGAGCACCTGTGTTCACAATGCATCATGCCAACCACTCAGCACAGGACCCGGAAGCAAGTGGCGGTCATTAGCAATGTCTACTTCAGTGATTCCCAGCTTCCAGGGGCATCAGCCAGGTATGGGCAGCACAGTGGCTAAATGGTTAGCACTTCCGCCTGGATGTACTAGGGTTGTTGGTTCGAATCCCAACCACGGCACCACCTGCCTGGAGTTTGCATGTTCTCCCTGTGCCTGCGTGGGTTTCCACCAGGTACTCAGATTTCCTCCCATGCTCCAAAGACATGCTTGTAGGTTAATTGGATCCTGTCTAAATTGGCCCTAATATGTATATGTATGAATGTACTCTTCTTCATCTACACCTCCTCCCTTGGCCAACTCATACACTCTCACGGCTTCAACTACCACCTCTATGCCGACGACACACAAATCTATCTCTCAACCCCCCACCTCACCCCCTCGGTCTCTGCCCACACACTTACTGAGCGACATATCAGATTGGATGTCGCTCCACTTCCTTAAACTGAACCTCTCCAAAACCAAGTTTCTTGTCTTCCCCCCAGTCCGGACCCCACCCCCCATTGACTTCTCCATCACATCCAACAACGCCAATATCAAACCCACCCTGCAGGCCAGAGTACTTGGTGTCATTCTGGACTCCAACCTATCCTTCCAGCCCCAAGTCCAATCTTTAACCTCCTTGGCGGTGTTCCCGAGCGTGACTCGGGGTTAATTTTCATGTCCAGGTGCGGTAACCCCGAGTCACGCTCGGGGTAAAGTGCAGAGGATACAACGTCTTCCCCTACCTTCTCCCCGCGATTCCCCGCTGTGATCGCCGGTGAGAACGCTGCCCGGCATCTGACTTCCTGGTTTCTCTCTCTGCGAGCAGCCGCAGTGCAGGAGAGTGGAACTGGGAGGGAATATTAAAATTTAAAGTGACACACACACACACACATACATATAAAAGAGATGATACATTGTAATCTGAGAGGATTACAATATATCACCTCAGATCACCTCAGATTGTACTGGCATTTGTGCCCATAAAAATAAAACATGGCACCAAAAATGCCCCCATTTAGGTCCAAAGCACTTTTAGACCAATTGAGTGACATCGACAGCGACGTGGAGTCGTGGGGAGATTTGTCGTCTGACACTGACACCGATCTGGCAAGTGACAGCGGCGATGATCCTGCTCCTGACCTCAGCAATGTGCGCACTTGGTGCCCTATTGCCTGCGATACGGACCATGTAGCGCCCCCAAGATTCCCATTTATTGGATCACCTGGGATGAAGGTAGATGTTGAGCGTAACAACCCTCTGGCCTACCTGCAATTATTCCTCACTGAGGAGATAATTGAAAAAATTGTCACGGAGACCAACCGCTACCAAGAGCAGCAACCCGCTACACTGCAAGCCAGGTTTTCCAGAAACCGAAAGTGGGATCCGGTGAGCAGAGAGGACATCTGGAAATTTCTGGGACTCATCATTCTGCAGGGCGTGATAGGAAAACCGCTCCAGAAATGGTACTGGACCACCAATAAATTACTGGCCACTCCGGTTTTTGGCACCGTTATGTCCGAATATCGGTTTTCCCTCATCATGAAGTATTTACACTTCACTAACAATGAGGAATTTGATGAGGCCACGCATCCTCAGCCCAAACTTAAAAAAATCTGGGAGGTGTACCAAAATATTGTGTTCAATTTCCAGCGGACCTACGTGCCAGATAGGGACGTCAGTGTGGATGAAAGCTTGATGGCCTACAAGGGTCGCCTAAGCTGGATCCAGTACATAGCGTCCAAAAGAGCGCGGTTTGGCATCAAATTCTACATGCTCTGCGAGTCATCTACCGGGTACATTTGGAATTCGGTCATTTACACTGGTAAAGGCACGCAGTTCAACCCCAGGTACAGCGACTATGGGATGGCCACATCATCTGTCCTTACACTGCTGGAGCCGTTGCTGAACCAGGGATATTGTGTGACCACGGACAACTTTTACACGTCTCCGGAACTGTATGAGGTTTTGATAAAAAACAAGACCGATGCTTATGGTACAGTCAAGTCTAATCGACGTGGCATGCCATCTACGTTTGCCCAGAAAAACAACTCAAAACCGGAGAAATGGTTGCCTGGCAAAAGGGTAAGATGATGGCAATGCGATGGAGAGACAAGAAGGACGTGTGTCTCATGAGCACTGTGCATAATTTGTCCACTGGCATGGTCCACACAAGAGGTGGGAAAGATGTGCTGAAGCCGCAACTCGTGATAGACTATAATAACACCATGGGAGGTGTGGACAGAGCCGATCAGGCAATGACATTTTATCCGGCTATGCGCAAACAACAAAAAAAATATTATAAGAAGATATTCAGGCATCTTCTTGAACAATGCCTTTGGAACTCGTACATCCTTCACAGAGCAAAGAGTGACAAGCCTCTTATTCATTCTGAGTTTATCTGGAAGGTGGCTGAGCAGATTTTTTATCAACTACCAAACGCCATCAGTAGCCATGAACAGATCTGGACGTCGTGCTGTTGTCAATCCAGAACGCCTGACTGGTCGCCATTTCATGGACTACATCCCGCCAACCACAAAAAAGGCAGCACCTACCAGGATGTGTGTGGTGTGCTGCTCAAGGAGAGATGGCAATGGAAAGAAAGTTCGAAAAGAAACCAGATTCCATTGCCCTGACTGTGACGTCGGATTGTGTGCAGTGCCATGTTTCAAAATTTATCACACTCAGGATGTTTACTGAATTTTCTTTGTTTGACAAATTTCATTATTTTTTATTACATTATTGAATAAAATTATATTATTTATTAGATTATAATTCATGATTTTGTGTTTCATACTTTATCACATCCGGGTTGTCTACTAGAGTCTTCTTTGCTCAGGTTTAAGTAAGTAATTACTAAGAATTGCAGGCCTACAATACATAACACCAAATTTCCATGCAAAAAAATGGTACCGCTTTTGGTACAAAATTCCTGACATAATCATACCGCGCCAGGGAGGTTAACAAACTCGTGCAGACTCCACCTCCGCAACATCGCCAAAATACGCCCATTCCTAACCCCAGAAACCACTAAACAGCTCATCCACTCCCTCATCATATCACGACTCGACTACTGCAACTCCCTCCTCACTGGCCTGCCTCTCCGCTGGCTATCCCCGCTTCAGTCGATCCTGAATACGGCTGCCAGACTCATTCACCTTTCCAACCGCTCCATTTTCGCCACCCCCCTCTGCCAATCCCTCCACTGGCTTCCGATTGCGCAACGGATCAAATTCAAATCCTAACACTGACGTACAAAGCTGTCCACCATACTGCCCCGAACTACATCACCGACCTAATATCCCAGTACCGCCCAGCACGCACACTCCGCTGCTCACAAGACCTCCTTCTCTCTAGTTCCCTGGTCCTCCTCCTCCCATGCCCGCCTCCAGGACTTCTCCAGGGTGTCACCCATCCTCTGGAACTCCCTGCCCCAACCCATCAGATTATCACCTACTCTCCTCTCCTTTAGGCGCACCCTGAAAACCCATCTCTTCAGGGAAGCCTACCCCACCCCCTGCTAACTTGACCGACCTTCTCCACTCTTCCTACCACTCCATCCCCCACAGCTTTCTCCTCCTGTGCCACCATCCCCTCCCTCCTAGATTGTAAGCTCGAAAGAGCAGGGCCCTCGATCCCCTCATGTTTTGCATTGTATTGGTATTGTTCTGTCACAAGTTCTGTCCCCCTTTGTAATGTACAGCGCTGAGCGAACCATTGCGCTTTATAAATACTGTATAATAATAATAATAATGTAAGTTAGGGACCTTAGATTGTACGCCCCTTGAGGGTTAGGGACTGATGTGAATGTACAATATATATGTGTAAAGCACTGCAAAAATTGACAGCGCTATATAAGCACCTGAAATAAATAAATAAATAAAAATAAATAAATATGGTATATACATTGTACATTGGTCCAAGCTGGGCCAAAGTAACTATGTAGAGTATATATACCATGCCTGGCAGTCATCTTTAAACTATGAAAAAAAGCAGTTTTAATTCTGTCTGTGTTGCTGCTGGAGAATTCCCTTCACTTCCTGCCAGGTAAAGCTGTGTCACCAGAACAGGAAGTGTGGGGGAAATCTCTCTAATGGAGCCCCACATAGCAGTAAAACCTGACAAAGGTTCTAATTCTTTCCCCACTCCATCCAAAACTAGAAAATAAAAAATTGCTGTAGATACACTTTAAGTACGATGGCTCTCCTGAAATATGTCATGCCCTCATTTATAAGCAGAAAAGTATTTTGCTTACCCATATCTTTTACCACCTCTCCAGGTAGCAGGAGCAACTCTTCCATACCAGCAAGCATTTTAAGACCTAAAACAGCAGAAAAGTAAAAATCATGATAATGGAACCTTTTAAAGCCATTAAAAAAAACATCAGCAGTACTATGAATGCAGGGATTGCACCTGGCCTGTAAAAGCTCAACTATTGAGGAGAAGAACAAGTCATTCACCAATCACAAGTTTTCCTGGCAGAATTCTGCATAATGCTTTCAGGGCACATTGCACAATAGAAGAGAAATGATATGTAAATGCAGGGGGTCTGTTTCCACAATAAACAAGAAGAGACAAGACATCTGCAATATCAGTCTACTGAAAGCAAGAGATAAAGGTCATCACAAACACTTCCAGTATAACTATACAAATCCAGAGACTCTCAAAAAGTCACGTTATTTTTGTGTAGTGCTGAGTCTAGGTAGGTATGTCATCTAATCCACAGGTATACACAAATCAGCCATAACATTATGACCACCCACCATAACCAGTTAAGGCATGGACACCACTAGACCTCTGAAGGTATGCTGTGGTATCTGGTACTAAGCCATCTGTAGCAGATCCTTTAAGTCCTGTAAGTTGTGAGGTGGGGCTGCCATGAATCAGACTTCTTTTTCCAGCACATCCCACAGATGCTTGATTGAATTAGGATCTGGAGAATTTGGAGGCCAAGTCAACACCTCACACTCGTTGTGTTCCTCAAACCATATATGAATTCATCAAACCAGGCCACCTTCTCCAGTTGCTTGATGGTACAGTTCTGATGCTCATGTGCCCACTGTAGGCACCTTTGGCAGTGGACACAGGTCAGTATGGGCACCATAACCGGTCTGCAGCTATGCAGCCCCATAAACAACAAACTTCAATGTACTGTGTGTTCTGACACCTTTCTATCAGACCCAACAGTAACTTTTTAAACAATTTGAGTTACAGTAGCTTTTCTATAGGATCAGACTACATGGGCCAGCCTTCGCTCCCTACACGCTTCAATAAGCCTTAGCTGCCCAAGACCCTGTGGCCGGTTCGCCAGTGTTCCTTCTTTGGACCACATCTAGTAGGTCCTGACCACTGCAGACCGTTAACATCAGAGCTGCCATTTTGCAATTTCTCTAACCCAGTCATCTAGCCATTAGAATTTGGTCCTTGTCACTCAGTTGCTTAGCACACATGACACATAGTCATGTTATAATTCTCCCTTGCCATAGGGAAACACGAAGGAACCATTAATATTAATTTTCATAATATTTTCTCATATTTCTATGTCATATAGAGACCACATTTACTTATTTGTGGGTCACTATCATGAATGGATTGTGGCATTTTTTTACTAGTAGCAGGGCAGCATTTATTTACACTGAAAAAACCAAGGTACTGTATAATCCACCTGGATACACTAAGTAGTTGTGAGGATATGTACAGTTATACTAAGATATGCCAAACTTGTAAAACTGTGTTCAGGCGTTAGGATTTGTTTTACCCTCTGTCATGAAGGGGTTAACATTACATGCAAGGGGAAGCTAAGTAGGATTTCGGAGTTATCAGAAAAGAGTAATTAAAAAAGGTAAGCAGCAGTAAAAAAAATATATATATATATATATATATATATATATATTATATTTTTTTATGTTCTGTTATATGAATGGGAACATGTAACAGATGTATTGCAGGTTTATCCCAATTTGGCTGCAAAGGTAGATGTACACTTATTCTTGCTCATTTTTACTATGTTCAACACATCAACTTCAGGGACAACACGTTCACTTGCTGCCTAATATATCATATTCCCTTTCACATATTACTGTCAAGAGATAACTAATGTTATTCACTTTGTCTGTGAGTGGTTGTAATGTTATGGCTGATTATTGGTGTACACTTCACTATAATCTGAGCATAGGACTATTATGTACAGAGGCGACTATTTCACATAAAAAAAAAAAATATATATATATATTAATAATAATAAAAAAATACTCTGCACATATTCATTGGCATATTTTTTAAACATAGAGGCACAGGAACAAGTGATGTGTGCCCTTACCCTGCAGCACTGGGGCCCAGGATTTCTTTCCAACCATGAAACTAAGCTTTAAAGTGTACATCTACCTTTGCAGCCAAATTGGGATAAGGCCTGCATTACATCTGTTACATGTTCCCATTCACATAAAAGAACTTACAAAAATATAATATTATATTTTTTATATATATATATATATATATATATATATATATATATATATATATAAAAAACTGCTACTTACCTTTTTAATTACTCTTTTCTGATAACTCCAGAATCCTACTTAGCTTCCCCCTTGCATGTAATGTTAACCCCTTCATGACAGAGGGTAAAACAAATCCTAACACCTGAACGCAGATTTACAAGTTTGGCATATCTTAGTATAACTGTACATATCCTCACAACTACTTAGTGTATCCAGGTGGATTATACAGTACCTTGGTTTTTTCAGTGTAAATAAATGCTGCTCTGCCACTAGTAAAAAAAATGCCACAATCCATTCATGATAGTGACCCACAAATAAGTAAATGTGATCTCTATATGACATAGAAATATGAGAAATATTATGAAAATTATTATTAATGGTTCCTTCATGTTTCCCTATGGCAAGGGAGAATTATAACATGACTACATTTCTTGCGTGCTAAACCAATGCTTAAACCTGTGCTATAATAATGGGATGCTGTCCAAACAGTGCACCAAACATAAATGTAAACCTTCCAAATAGAACCAATATTGGTCAAAACATATGGATAAGAAGATTGATCACCAAATCACTTTGTTTCACTTGTGTGGATGGAGGAAGTGTCTCACACTGGGACTTTAAAATATATATATATATATATATATACACACACACACTTGGATATAGTGGTACACTGGGACTTTATTATATTTATATTAGATGCACTGGATTTATGTTTATTACCCCCATGTTTTGACCAATATTGATTCTATTTGGAAGGTTTACATTTATGTTTGGTGTACTATTTGCACAGCATCCCATTGTTATAGCACAGGTTTAAGCATTGGTTTGGCACATATGACATATAGTCATGTTATAATTCTCCCTTGCCATAGGGAAACACGAAGGAACCATTAATAATAATTTTCATTATATTTTTCATATTTCTATGTCATATAGAGATTACATTTACTTATTTGTGGGTCACTATCACAAACAAATTGTGGAATTTTTTTCACTAGTGGCAGAGCAGCATTTATTTACACTGGTATTCACACATTTGTTTACATTTACACTTGGCATTGGTGGTATTGCTAGCAGCAGCCAGTTTATCTACTTTTTAATATAGTCCACTTTGCAGGCTCCATTTTATACATTGTATATCTCCTGATTTTTTGTATCAAATAAAAATTGGCCCAAAACAGTAAAAAATTATTTTTCAAAATGTGGTCATATATTTCTTGCTATTACCACCACGACCTACCACTAAAGAACACAAAATAAATTTTCCTGGTCCTGATGATCGCAGCGATACCACATATGTGTATGTTATTTGTTGTATGTACCTGTAGTATGGCCCAGAAACAATAGTGCACATTCTCCTTGTTTTTTATCCTGCCTACAACACACTGACATTGACACGAATTTAATTTTTTTTTAATCCTACCTGAAATATACTGATCCTAACCTCGACCAAATCATGATCTGGCTATTTCAACTTCATTTTTTATTATATTATTATTTTACACATTTTTGTTTGTTTACATTTTCGCCTCCGGCAGGAAGAACAAGAAGCAATGGGATTGATATACTAAAACTGTAGAGTGCAAAATCTAGTGCAGTTCTGCATAGAAACCAATCAGCTCCTAGGTTTTTTTGTCAAAGCCTAACTGAAAAAACTTAAGTTTTTAGAAGCTGATTGGCTACCATGCACAGCTGTACCAGATTTTGCACTCTCCAGTTATAGTAAATCAACCTCAATGTATACTTCTCGCCATTCAGAGAAGAAAAGAAACACGGGGTGGGTTGTGCAGTGACTGATCATGCAATAGCCAGAGGCTATTACACCAATCAGGTGATTGGCAAACAGGCATCCTGGTTTCTGATTGTTGGTGAGAGTCTGGTCCCTGTGCTGGGAACATGCTGTGCATCATGCTCCCAGCACAAACAGATGTCTGCATATATGCGGCCTAACAGAAGAAGACCCACTTCAGGGATGTCACATATATGTGTACAGGTGGCAAGGAGTTAGTTGACTATAATTCAAGTGGTAGTAAACCGCAGAAAAATAAAAAAAAATTATCTGCAAGGTAATATCAGAATGTGCTAGTATGCATCGCATACTAGCACATTACGAAGGACTTACCTTAAAACAAAGCTTTATTATAAGCATACCTGTAGGTAAAAGATACAAAGTGGGTTTACTTCCAAATTAACCCTGTCTGGTCTGTGCTGGCAAATCTTCATTATCGGCTGTACACACTGTCTGTACTAACAAAAGGGTCTAAAGATGTCAAGGCTTGTGTGCTACATTGTATGGTAATGCAGTCTCTATAAATCCAGCCATAAATAAGCACACTGCAAGGTATTCTGAACAACAGAATTTGCCTAAAGAGTTATATGTACAAACGGGCTTTAAAGAAACAACTAGAAAGGTAAGAAATATTATTTTTGATTTAATATTTTGTGTGCTGTGTGAATGAGAACACATAACAGACATATAGTGGAGTTCCTCCCATATGGAAGAAAAATAAATTTGAAGTATATTTTAAAAAAATATTTTTCCCAAATATATTGACATATATTTGAAATACTACAATTTTGGCCAATATTCAATGTATTTCAATATATATATACACACACACATATATACACACATATACATATATATATATATATATATATATATATATATATATATACATACATACATATACACACACACACACACACACAAATATATGTTAAAATTGCTTTTTTATATGTTAAAAAAAATCTGAAGAATATATTTAAAAAATATATATTTTTAAATATATGCTTCAGATTTTTTTTAA